ATATTCAATCTTATAATCAGTCCATTTCTTATCTTTAATCCACACATAATTATAGCTGGAGCACAAAAATTTTTATTATTATCTCGCCATTTTAAATCACACATTTTCTCATTCTACTTCCTTATACGGCTACTATTCGTTTTTCTCATTTTTATCTCCTTAAGATAGTTATTTTTCTATTTTTGCGGCCCAGTCTTCTCATAAATATATGCCTCATTCCATTCTTCCGGTCGTAGTAGCGACGATAATTTGCGACATCAAACCGTTGATTTAATAGATCCTGAGACGCTCTTCTGGCTTGCGTAATGAGCTTTGCCATCCTTATCGCCGAGTTAAACTCGTATTCGATAAATGAACCATTAGATCCAGTCAATCATTATAACTACTATGACAGAAAATGAAGTATGTTTTCTCTTATAGGTCTCTGACGGCCAAGTTTCTAAAACTAGGTTATGCTAATTATATGGAATGAAAGGAATCTAAATAATGGCATAATCTTGCTATTCCTACTTAAGGCTGTTTTGCCTTGCTCACAAAGCTCGTGTTTTCAAACTTATTCTTATTTTATCACTTGAATCATGTCAAAATCAATCTTTATAAATTTAGGACACAATTTTGACGACTGAATTTGATGGCCAAAAATCAAATCACTCGATGCTTCAAGTATGGCCTGTGAGAACTCCACGTCCCGTCGCCGAAAAGTTACAGGCTAACTTTCCTCTCCTGACTGGCCAGCGTATTCTAGACGCATTATTTCCGTATGTCTATCTATTAATGGATATTATACCATTTTCAATTTATTTATTTTTTAGTTCTAACATTTTGATAGCTTTCAAGTGCTAGTTTTTTTTTCTGAGTTTTAACATTTAAGCTCATTGGTGATTTTATCATTATGGTCATGATTAAATTGAAAAGTAATGCCGAGACAAATCTCTTGCCATAAGCCTTGTGTTCATTTGCACACCTTCACGCCAAAAATTTGCAATGCAAAATCATGGCTTCCTAGAATTTAGGCCAGCTCGTCAAAGTGCTCTCGCCTGAGGATACCAGGTTAAGGTACGTATTTGCATCTTATCCATTATGTCAAGCTTTTTCAATCGTTACGCTTTTTAGTTGTCTTAGTGAAGTTTCTTTCAGTATGTTTATTATTTTTGTAGGAATTCCCTTAACTTCTCAGATCTTTGTTACGTAATGGCTAGTTTTGTTGCATACCCACAACCTAACGTGCTTGCAATGTAATAAGCTGTTTTGACGAATAAATAAATTTTAATACTGGCCTGCTTTATTTTTCAATTGGACTAGCATCGGGCCTTTGAAACAAAAAGCCTATACAAATAATCTATCTTTTTAAGGTAGGTAAAAGAAATCCTTTCTACAAAATAGCCGTCTGTGAGAATGAATATACCTTATTTTTTGTTTAAAAGAGCTAACATAAATGAGTTGAAACTGTTACAAATACTCGGTATTAACTTTAGAAAGTGTAGATGACATTAGGTGATCGAAACCTAATAGCTTATCTTCCCACAATGAAATAAATAGAAAGGTCAATGATGCTTTTTAATTTCACTTATTCCTATTATGTGATATATTCTTTAAGACTCCTTAAATGTCGCTATTATTTCTCTGCTCTTCAGAACCTATATCTAAAATATATCCTTTTCTCTTTAATTAATTTTTGATCCAGTTGCGTTCAAGGTGGCACAACGGCCATTCCTGGAGCTTTCGGATGTGGAAAAACAGTCATATCGCAATCACTTTCTAAATACTCCAATTCCGATGTTATCATTTACGTTGGCTGCGGTGAACGCGGTAATGAAATGTCTGAGGTCCTACGAGATTTCCCAGAGGTTGGTCGTCCGATATCTGATTTTTTTTTAATAATTTATTTAGATTAAACTCCCCTCCAAACATAGTTTTTTTGTAGAACTCAAGTGAAACTGGTTTAAATAAATCTTTTACTAAATTCATGTTGTTCCCTTTATTTAGTTTTGAAAGGTTGGCTTAATGGACTCTTAACTTAGCTTTAATGATCCGAAAGAGGATTATAAGATGTACTCTCTATATTTCGTTTAGATTGAAGGACTGGTAGTTAAATTTTTCCACAATGATATGAGTAGAACTGACGTTTCAATTGAATTTCATATAGCCCTGTTTTCTCAAAAGGTATTTTCATTCAGGGTGGACTGCAGTTTTGACCTCGCTTAGGTTTTATCAATACGTCCCTTATTACATTCTTTAGTGCGATTATTGATTAAACAAGCTTATATTTGCTATAACAATCACTACATAAGTTATTTTTACTTTACCAGTAGGATTTCGATACTGCCAGTAAATCAGTTATATGAGATGTAATGTAGTCGATTGTTGTGGCTGAATGATAACACCTTTTATGAAATCATGGTTATATGAAATTCATTGGAAACGTCAGCTTACTCACATTGTAGAAAAATTCAACTACAAATCCTTCATCACCTTGAACGAAAAAGGGTAAATACACTTCATATACGTGATTTGATGGTAGTCTCGAAACCCTATATATAAACAAAAAAGGATTGCCTTGAAGTTGTGTCTGTGGACTTGTGCGAAGAAATTCTTAGCTTGCCGTTTTGCTGTGACAGACACAGCCATGCTTTACGAACTTTTGACAAGCACTAAGACCTAGTGCTTAACAGACGAAAGCTTAGTACGGATTCATCAGGGTCACAAAACGGTGCATCAAGGAT